TGATTTATTTTTTTATTTTTTTTAAATATCAGTGAAATCAACTACATGATTGACCGTTAAAAAAAAAAAATTCTTTCATGATCCCGTTACTATGCATAATCTTAGTAGTTAAAAGACATGGTAGGAAGCTGTTGGAGAATTTAAGAAATGAGCATAATGAGACTCCAACTACGTCGGTGCTGTCAAGTAAGGGGGGTGTGTGTAATTATTACGACAGTGGATGGCAGGCTATCACGGAATGAAGTTTCTAGTTGAAGTTATACTGCTTTTGTTCTTGAAATGCAGTGGGGGGTGGGCGAGTTAGACTCAATTTTAAGTTAATCTTAAGTATACAATCTTTAATTCTAACTTTAACTCTAATCTTACCTCACGTTGAGGAATTCAACCAGAGCACTGCTTAAGTTTAATTCGGGTAGACTTGAGTTGAATTCGGATTAATAATTTCGGACTACTTTATNACCTCACGTTGAGGAATTCAACCAGAGCACTGCTTAAGTTTAATTCGGGTAGACTTGGGTTGAATTCGGATTAATAATTTCTGACTACTTTACNAACTCTAATCTTACCTCACGTTGAGGAATTCAACCAGAGCACTGCTTAAGTTTAATTCGGGTAGACTTGAGTTGAATTCGGATTAATAATTTCGGACTACTTTATAGGTTTAATTCAGATTGAATCCAAAATAGACTTGTTGTTCTAAACTTGATACATATATTACATAATATTCATCTAAATTAACAATCAACTTAATCAAGTTTTAACATAAAAATCATAATATTAAGAACTCAAAATTTGAAATAATGCAACCATAATCATGCATAACACAAATAAACACAATTAGAATCTTTGTACAAACATAGAATTCACTGATTAAATAATAAGTGAGGGAGGCGCACAATGAAGACTCTAGAACAGATTAACTCTAGATTTAAAAATGTATTTACATAGTTATGAATATTCGGGTTCAACTCGATACCTGAGAGGTCAATCCAAGACCTGTCCAAATTGAGTTTGAGTTTGAATTTTTTGATATAAGTCTAACCTAAATATTAAAAATTATAATCCAAATCCTAATTTTATCGGGTTAAAATCATATTAGCCCGCACCAAGTTACACCCCTAAAATGCAGAGGGTTGCAAGTGGGTCAGCTGGTCAAGAGCAAAAATGTCAAATTACAACCTAATATAAGTTGTCTTAAAGTTTTCTTCCAGCTTTCTGCCCATTTGGAGATGGAACTGTTAATCAAACTGAGCTACTCGAGTTTGACTTGAGTTCAGCTCGGGTTCAGCTTGTTTAAGCTCGATTCGTTTTTTAAACGAGTTTGAAGTTGAACAAGTATTTGGGCTCGTTTAGAAAATAAGTCCTACAAGTTCGGCTCGTTTATGTGCAAATACTCGGGTTCGGCTCATTTATGTGCAAATACTCGGTTTCGACTCGTTTCCTAAACGAGTCGAACTTGAATAATTTTTAAAACTTGATTAAGAAACAAGTTTTTCGAGTTCGATTAAAAAACAAACTTTTCAAGTTTGGTTCGAATTCGACACGAGCTCATTCAACTAACAATCTTACTTGGGAAGGATGGAAAAGGGGGGAAATTTTGGTGGACTAAAAAGACTCTCTTTCTATCAAATTTTCTCTTTCCTCCTTATTTTAATTTTCATACAAAATAGTGAAAAATCTTCTCTTCCAATTTTTTTTCGTTTTACTATTTTTTATCTACCATACTTTCCATCAAACCAAACTTAGGGTGATTATTTTCTCATCACAAGAAAGGTGAAATCGGAAAACAATTCAAGAGAATTTATCCCTCTTGATTTGCTTAATTGACGTGGAGGGTGTACTAGTTGTTTCCCTCTCCAAGTTGAACCACAGCTGGACCACCAGTATGGTTCATTTTTGTACTTGGATAAGGCTGCATTGGAGTGCAGGGTCTTCTAGATAGGATAAATAATAGAATCGAAGCTTCGGAAATGGTTTTTTAAATAAATTTAAAAAATTGTTTAAATTGAGTCCCTTTAAAAGATGAGTTAAATTTGAGTTCGGGGGTGAATTGTACATATATATATGAATTGAATTTTATGAGTTTTAACCGATCAAACAAGTCTAAAAAATTGTTCAAACTCGACTCATATAAAAAACNGTCCCTTTAAAAGATGAGTTAAATTTGAGTTCGGGGGTGAATTGTACATATATATATATGAATTGAATTTTATGAGTTTTAACTGATCAAACAAGTCTAAAAAATTGTTCAAACTCGACTCATATAAAAAACAAGTCTAACCTAATACAAGCTGAACTTGAACAACTCGACTTAATTATCGACCATATTTCTAGACATGAACATACCAATTTAAAGAGAAAGAAAGACTGTGGGACCGAAAAAAGTATAATATTAAAAATTATAATTAAGTTATAATTTTTTTGAGTCTAAGTAACAACCGTAAAGAATATAATCGATTTCAAAATATTATGATCGATCACATAAGTTATCATTTTTAAAAATTAACGTACAACTTATAAAAAAAAATTACAATTGATTGAAGTAATTCATAGTCGATCATAACATTTTATGATGATTCATTTTTAATTTTACTGTTAAAAGGCATTATTTAATTTTAAAAAATAATAATTATCGACACGGTATTAATTTTTTTCTATAGGATATTACTATCCCCAAATTCAGATGAAACTAAGAGGGTATCTTTTGGTATCTCTCCAAATCACAAGGATGTTCTTGTAATCATATGTGTGTAATTTTTAGATTGAGGTTTTTTAAAAAAAAATTAGGGTTAATCTCATTTTGCACTTCGAAAGATTGTTCAAATCTCAATTTGTACTCTCAAAGATCAAAAATCTCAATTTACATCCTCAATGATAGAAATTTTTATCAATGTGCACCCCTAAAGATCAAAAATCTCAATTTACACCCTCAAAAATAAAAATTTATATCAATGTGCACCCCCAAAGATCAAAAATCGTTATAATCCTGGCATTTGGTACATTTCGTTGATAAATAAAAAACACGGCGGGTCCAAACAGAGCCTAACGGCGAGAATGCCAACAGCTGGCCCACACTACTGACTACTCACAGACTTATTTCCTTCCAATCAAAGGTGGGTCCCACATACGTACTGCTGTGTGAACCTTGGCATAGGTGCAAACAGTGTTTGGTGGGGTCCAAACCAAGAAGATTTGGCTTCTGAATCTTAATAATAATAGTCAAACATATTGGGATAATCTCACAGCTTAGGGTTGGTGAGGGGGGGGGTTCTGCAAATTGACAAGAAAGTTCTACGAATCGAACGGTCACGATTTGATCTGGAGAATAGGCCCACGTCAGCATGATCAAGATCATACATCACATATTCAAAAGTGATTTTTTGGATTGCGTATGTGCGTGTTCAAAAGATTTGTATGGATGGTCACGGGGTTTGCTTGGTCCCAGACATGCAAAATCCAGAAAAGAGGGAGTCATGGATGACTTTTTTGCCAACTTGCAATTTCAAAATTATTCTTTTTTTTTTTTTTTGGGGCAAGTAAAAATAAAGATTAATGATGTATTGGAAAAAAATCGCCTATTCCTTTTTGCTCGAATTTTCGCCGTTGATTATACTAGGTGGCACACCTATTTTGTAGCCGAATCCTTTCATGCTTCTTTTGCTATTCATCTATTATTTAAGTTTATGTTTTAGACAACTTTCTTATTTACTTAATATTGCATCTAATTACTTAGAATAGCCTAACTATCTCCTTCATCATAACCAGAATCGGAATAAGACCCTAACTCCCATCTTTATTTGGTTTTGTTGACAACTCGACTGGTTATTTACATACTTTATGACACGTGATCTTATTAATTGTTTTAATCATGCATTATCTTTTTTGTGCCACTTCACTTCAGATGATATTCAATGTCTTTTGTTTAAACACAATGATTCCAACAAAGGGATATAGTGATTAATCCAATCATAAAAATAAAAAAAAAAACTGAAATGATTTCGTTTTCATTTTTTTTTTTTTGGGAACAAATTTTCATTTTTAACTTTTCAACAATTTTTGGTTTGATCTCTTAGCCACTAAACCATGTGTACATGTGGCACACTCTCAATTTACTTGCTTCACTTAACAATATCTAGCCGGTTCCAAAAAAAAAGAAAAAAGAAAAAAAATTAAAAATCTCTCTGTTACCATTTTAATTTCATTTTTTCTACAAGTGGTATGTCTCTACAAGCTTTTTGACTTTTTTTTTTTATTTCCTGAAGTATTAAATTCATTTATGAAAAAAATAATTATAAGTAATGGGTAGGAACAAAACCATGGTTGCATTTTTGTTGAAGTTTTAGTGGAGAAATTTTGAAAATACATGGATACAATATTAATTTTTTTTAGATGTTTTTTATGCTATCTTTCATATATGAATTGGTCACAATATTAATAAAATTAGATAATAAAAATTATTTTTTATAGATTATAAAATTAATTGAAAAATTTTAAAGCCTAACCTAAACTAATTATGATAAATTTTGTTGAATAAGATCTCATCCTCTTATCTTTCTGAAACCATATAGTTTTTAGATTTTTTTCAAAAAAAAAAGACTTTTGAATCTAAAATATATTATCAAAATAGAGCCCTTTTCAAATAAAATATCAATCTACCATATTTTAAACATATCTATTTCTAGAAGTGGAATTAACGAGAACACTTTTAATACTTATAAAAATATATTTTTCTCTTTTTGATATATCACTTATTAAAAACAGAATTGTTGATTCTGCTTTTAAAAATTGCATGGTGAAAACGGAATTGTTGATTATGCTTTCAAAGCGGAATCGTGTTGAATACGAAATCAATAATTTTATTTTTAAAAATTATTGTAAATTAATAAATAAATTTAAAAGTGTGATAAATTGATATTTTTGTTAGAAAAATACTGTAATTTTGTAATAAATTCTCTGAATCTGTGCAGCTACATGCATGTAATCACCAAAAAGCAAAGCCGGCTATCCGATGGCTGAGCATGACCGCATCCCGTGCACTCTCTGTCTTTCTCTGGTGTTAGTATATCACGTTAACGTTGGGCGGGACCACCGGCCACACCGCCATTAATACTCTTTTCTCCCATCTGCCTCCTATCTCTCTCCCCCTCTCTTTCTAATCGCTCCATTTCTCTCTGTCTACTTGTCAACAGTTGTGTGAGGATTTTAATGAACCAAAATTCGAAGAGTGGTCAACCTAGCCTGTCTCAGCTTCGGCGAAGGTTCTCATAGACCCACGGAAAAACCACATAAGCGACAGAATTACAAAATTCAAGCCTCCTCCTCCACTCTAAACTTTCTCTTTCAGGAAAATATTCATTAGTTTTTCACTGAAATAGAGGTGGGTATTCCCGTTTTTGTATTATTATTATTCGGTAAGTAAGAGGTGGGTATTCGTTTTCTTGCTACCTGTGTTCTTGGGTTTTTTTTTTATTTGTTTATATTTTGTGGGATTTTGTTGTAGAAAAGTAGTCAATGGATGATGTTTGTCTTCGTTGATCAAAACTTTTGTATTAAAAAGTCTCTATTTTTCCCCTTTCCCTCGGTTCATTTTTTTTACACAGATCTGCTTCTGATAGGTTATTTTATAAGTTATTTTNTCCCCTTTCCCTCGGTTCATTTTTTTTACACAGATCTGCTTCTGATAGGTTATTTTACAAGTTATGTGNAAAAGTCTCTATTTTTCCCCTTTCCCTCGGTTCATTTTTTTTACACAGATCTGCTTCTGATAGGTTATTTTATAAGTTATTTTGAGCTAAGATATCACCAATAATATTTGTTCTGTGATTTGCAGTCCCATAGAAGTTTTGTGAAGGAAGGAACCAAGAGGGTAGTTTGTTTTCTGGGAGGTAGTTTCCATGGGGATTTGCTTGAGTGCTCGAATTAAAGCCGAAAGCCCATTTCACACAGGTATAGATAATTTCACTCAGTTTTTGTTTTGATCCATTTACGAAAATCTACTTATTTGTTTCGTGTTTCCTTCAGTTTTAATTTAGCATATCTGAATATTAGGGGGGTCGATTTTGGGTAATTTCTCTCCCTCTCTCTTTCCCCTTTCTATTGGGAATTTTGTATTTGGTTTATTTTTCATGCTGATTACATCGGTTTCAGTATTGTTAAATCATTATTTTTTTCCCCTAAATTACAGTTTCCAAAAATGCCAATTCTCTTTGCAGATTGGTATACAGATATAGGTTCTAATCATTGGGGAACTATGTTTCTCAGGAGAGAGAGTGCTAGAATTTGTGAACTATGTTTTCTGTGGACCTTTTATGAAGATGTTGTTTCAGAACCGTGATTGTTCTCAAAATTTTGGAAATATAAGGAAAGCAGAGTTTCGCAATTATACTTTGGAATATTTCAGTGTTATCTAATTAGGTAGATGATGTTCATTGGTTTTGCTCAGGTGTGAATTCCAAATCTGTTAGCACAAATGGGAATGATCTAAGCAATTTGAGTGACAAGGTCTCATCAATATCAGTCCCACCAACTCCTCGGAGCGAGGGTGAGATCTTGCAATCGCCCAATTTAAAGAGCTTTAATTTCTCTGACCTCAAACTAGCTACGAGGAACTTCCGTCCTGATAGTGTGTTAGGAGAAGGTGGTTTTGGCTCGGTTTTTAAAGGATGGATTGATGAACAATCATTCACGGCTACCAAGCCTGGGACGGGCATGGTGATTGCCGTGAAAAGGCTCAACCAAGAAGGTTTCCAAGGTCACCGCGAGTGGTTGGTGAGTATCTCTGTCTCTTTTATTGAAGAGCTACCAACAATTTTGTACTATGTTGTGTAATGTTTTTTGTATGATTAAACCAGTTTGCTTGAGATGTCAGTTGGAAGAACATCTTGGATGTCTCTATATACGATCTGTCCACTGATAGGATGAACAAAATTGTCAGAGTTTGCTAACTTAGTATGTGCATTGTCATTAATTGTTGCATCTTCTGGTCCTATAGGCCGAAGTGAATTATCTGGGGCAGTTTTGTCATCCTCATCTTGTGAATCTGGTTGGGTATTGTCTGGAGGATGAACATCGGCTATTGGTGTACGAATTCATGCCTCGTGGCAGCTTAGAAAATCATTTGTTCAGGAGTGAGTTTTTTTTCTTCTCTATACTCATATTTGGAACCCAACATAATATTTATGTTTCATAGTTTGTATTGACGTATCTTGTTAAAAAGGGCAGAAATAAACTTATGAATTAATGTAGTGAATTTTTGTACCAGGAGGTTCTTATTTTCAGCCTCTTTCTTGGAGCCTTCGTTTAAAGGTTGCGCTTGGAGCTGCAAAGGGGCTGGCTTTTCTTCACAGTGCAGAAACAAAAGTGATATATCGGGACTTCAAAACTTCTAATATTTTACTCGACTCGGTATATATGCTATGGAATAGATTTTTGTACTCCTTGTGTTGCAAGCATAAAGGTTTTTAATGCTGCTTGGTTTCCTGTTTCCTCGTTAACAGTTTTTCTATTCCCATGTCATGCCAGAACTACAATGCAAAGCTCTCTGATTTTGGGTTGGCCAAGGATGGGCCAACAGGTGACAAAAGCCATGTTTCTACTAGGGTTATGGGAACATACGGATATGCAGCTCCCGAATATCTAGCCACAGGTACGTTTGATATATATTTCCTTTTTGGACATTTGAATGTCCATGTGATGTTCCTCATGTTTCTGTTTCCATCCTGTCCCAATTTGCTCCTATCTTTTATTCCTTCAGTAGAAGGATACTGATAGAGGTTAATTCCCTCTTTGTGCTGTAATCCAGTCCATCCAGTCATTTTCAGATGAAAGATTCCCACATTGGCTGACTACATCTTGCAATCTCTTCCTTCTTCACCTAAGGCCTGCTACTTGTTAGCGAACTTTGGGGTCGTGTGACAGAAATCGTGGGATGCCTTGGGCACCTGCGATCACACTATCCCCTGATTGGAATTCGGCGAGCTAACTTGGTTTAAATTCAACCTCACTTGCAAGGTTTTCTTTTTCTCTCCCTCACGATCCTGTCCCTATGTGCATCTGCTGCACAGTGGCATAGAATTGTAGTACTAGTGGATGAACTGGTCTAATGTCAACTCTCTTCGTAATATTGTTTCGGGCCTGCTGTATATTTTTGTTTGGGGAGTGGATTCGTTAAGTGGTGTCACCATTGGTATAAATTTGACGTGCTCTACTCTCTTTCATGCCGATCTGATTTACTTTCCCCAATCAGGGTCTATTTTTCACCATGGAAGACCATCTATCTCAGCAAGCTGATTATTCATGAAGAATCCTGACTATCTGCTATATTTATGCATTTGTTCCCTCTACATGGTTGTGTATATTGATTCGGTTGTGATAATGTGCAATTGCACCACCTATTGTAGGTCATTTGACTGCCAGGAGTGATGTATATAGTTTTGGAGTAGTTCTGCTTGAAATGCTGTCTGGCCGAAGAGCAGTAGACAAGAACAGGCCATCAGGAGAACATAACCTTGTAGAATGGGCCAAGCCATACCTGGCCAACAAACGCAAAATTTTCCGTGTTCTGGATAACCGTCTTGAAGGCCAGTACTCATTGGAGGTAGCCCAGAAGGCAGCAAACCTTGCATTGCGATGCCTGTCTGTAGAACCGAGGTTCAGGCCAACCATGGATCTGGTGGTAAAAGAACTGGAGGAACTTCTGGATTCCAAGGAAATGGCAAACAATCACAGCAGCAACCGGAGCAATGGGTCTAGACCTCGTAGATTAAGTGCAGATGATGCTAGGAGTAAGAACACTCCAGCTGCTTATCCGAGGCCATCTGCTTCCACCCTTTATGGCAAGTAAATCAATCAATTGAATTGTCATTGGGAACGCAGGAATTTAACTATATTTGGTAAGCGATTGTACAGTTGATTGTACAGTTGTTTCGGCTAAATGTATTCAAGATCAAGCTTTTTGTTGACAAAATTTCTTGGTGAGTTTGTAATCACTAATATCTGCCAGGTTGTGTGTTTGTGGGATTGTTGCCAAAATGTTTGTAGTACTAAGTAGAGAGCTAAGATAAGTGATGGTAGCTCTTCTTACTGGTGGGAATTTTCCATTTTCCCCTACAAAAAGGGATGTTTTTCTTCTACATGTAAATTAGTTTATTACAATTTTTTGATTGTGTTCTTCAAAAAGAATGGAAAAGCAAATTTAGCTAGATATCACCTCATCAATTTTTGCTTGTGNCCCTACAAAAAGGGATGTTTTTCTTCTACATGTAAATTAGTTTATTACAATTTTTTGTTTGTGTTCTTCAAAAAGAATGGAAAAGCAAATTTAGCTAGATATCACCTCATCAATTTTTGCTTGTGGAGAACTTGATAGTTTGTGTATCTGATACCAACTCAATTTTTCTTGATAAATCATCCATCATATATGAGAGAGGTTTCAGCTATGAATCTTTGACAACTCAAATTGATAAATAGATTATCTTATCATCGAAGAAGTGTTTTTCACTATATATATGCCAAAAAAAAAAAAAAAAGTTTATTTCCATTTAAAAATAGTTTTAAACTTATTTTTCAAACCGAAATAGTTTTTGAAGAACGGCATTCTAAGATTTCAGGTTACAAAATTCCATTGAAATGATGTTTAAAAATGTCACGGATCTGTCTGGTAAGCAATGTGTTCTGCAGATAGTATTTAGAATGGTGTTTTTTTAGAAGTATATGATTTTGAGATATAAGACTGGAATTACATGTGTTCGGAGAATAAGTTTTTTTTTTTTTTGTTTTTTTTTTGGTGGTGGAAAGAGGGATAGCATAAATATCATCATAAGTTCACAAAATTACATGCATCTGGGGTACGAGACCCCTACAAGATCAGCTTGAAGCTGTTGTTTAGTATTATCAGGAGGATTATACAAAACATGAATGTCAATTCCTGCAACCATCCCTTCTTTATCCCAAACATTAGCACATTGATTAGTCTTGTAGCCTGCTCATAAGCCATCTGCAATCATTCAGCAGAGCACTATGGCAGTTGTTAGTGCATTTAGGATCCCTGATAAGGTCCACCGCTACCTTTNTTTTTTTTTTTTTTGTTTTTTTTTTGGTGGTGGAAAGAGGGATAGCATAAATATCATCATAAGTTCACAAAATTACATGCATCTGGGGTACGAGACCCCTACAAGATCAGCTTGAAGCTGTTGTTTAGTATTATCAGGAGGATTATACAAAACATGAATTGTCCATTCCTGCAACCATCCCTTCTTTATCGCAAACATTAGCACATTGATTAGTCTTGTAGCCTGCTCATAAGCCATCTGCAATCATTCAGCAGGNCATAACGAAAACACGATACTTAATATTTAATGACGAAGAACCAATCCATAAAAATTCTTTTTTTCTTAAAAAAGAAAATATTAATTGAAAATTTATATCTAACAAAAGCACGATACTTAATACTTAATGAAGAAGAACCAACCCATAAAAATTCTTTTTTTTCTTTAAAAAGAAAAAATTATACAAATTAAATATTTGTAATACTGCTGCAAAATAAATCAAATAAAAATAAAGAAATGAAAAATGAGCAATACTTGTCCTCTTAATAGAAACGAGGGAGTTTATTACTCCCTTTTTATTTCAAGAACTCATCTAAACTAAGACTAAAGTCTTATCCATTTGTAGACGGAGCTTCAATAGCAGCTAAATCTAGATGGAAGTTATGAGCGTTACGTTCATGCATAATTTCCATACCAAGGTTAGCACAGTTAATAATATCAACCCAAGTATTAATTATACGGCCTTAACTATCAACAACAGATTGATTGAAATTGAAACCATTTAGGTTGAAAGCCATAGTGTTGGTACCTAAAGCAGTAAACTAGATACCTACAACAGGTCAAGCAGNTACGCAGACTTTGAGTCAAACTCCCCACTAGGTGACAGGCCCCATCCCGACGATGGGTATTAATCCCGTCGCATGGTTGATCCATAATCCGCTACCTTGATCCACTTAATTACATCGTCCTCTCTATTAGTATTTACAATAAAAAAAAAATTCAATTTCAACCATTTCTCAATATTTCTTTCTTTTGTTTAGATACAAATTTTATTAAAAAATTATTTTGTTATCTTTTTTTTATTTAATTTAATTTGAATTAAATAAAAAAACTCACAAAAGATTGGGAAGAAGGTATAGTAATTGAAAATTTATACATAACGAAAACACGATACTTAATATTTAATGACGAAGAACCAATCCATAAAAATTCTTTTTTTCTTAAAAAAGAAAATATTAATTAAAAATTTATATCTAACAAAAGCACGATACTTAATACTTAATGAAGAAGAACCAACCCATAAAAATTCTTTTTTTTCTTTAAAAAGAAAAAATTATACAAATTAAATATTTGTAATACTGCTGCAAAATAAATCAAATAAAAATAAAGAAATGAAAAATGAGCAATACTTGTCCTCTTAATAGAAACGAGGGAGTTTATTACTCCCTTTTTATTTCAAGAACTCATCTAAACTAAGACTAAAGTCTTATCCATTTGTAGACGGAGCTTCAACAGCAGCTAAATCTAGAGGGAAGTTATGAGCGTTACGTTCATGCATAATTTCCATACCAAGGTTAGCACAGTTAATAATATCAACCCAAGTATTAATTATACGGCCTTAACTATCAACAACAGATTGATTGAAATTGAAACCATTTAGGTTGAAAGCCATAGTGTTGGTACCTAAAGCAGTAAACTAGATACCTACAACAGGTCAAGCAGCTAGGAAGAAATGTAGAACGAGAGTTGTTGAAACTAGCATATTGAAAAATCAATCGGCCAAAATAATTATGAGCGACTACGATTTTATAAGTTACTTTCTCTTAACCAAATCTGTAACNGTTGAAACTAGCATATTGAAAAATCAATCGGCCAAAATAATTATGAGCGACTACGATATTATAAGTTACTTTCTCTTAACCAAATCTATAATTTGCCTTAACAGATTCATTTTCAGTGGTTTTTCTGATCAAACTAGAAGTTACCAAGGAACCATGCATAGCACTGAATAGAGAGTCACCGAATACACCAATAACATGTAGGGTGCATAAAGATGTTGTGCTTAGCCTAGAATATAATCACAAAGTCGAAAGTATCAAAAATTCCTAACAGTATACTATCAGAAAAACTTCCTTCACCAATTGGACTTCCCACAAGGTGACAGGCCCCATCCCATGTGTCTGACTCTTTAATATACTTTTGGATTGGGATGACTCTAATTCTATTTTCAAGACATAAAGGCAATTTGATTGAAATACTCCCAAGGTTCCAATTCCCCTTATCATTTAGAACATCTTTAACTGTCAAACAACCTTCTCACAACTGGATTGGGCCTTGGATCACTTCTCTTAACGTCTGCATGCCTAACCATTTATCGTTCCAAAGATTAAATCTCTCTCTCCATTATGAATGGTGTAAGGGGCATCACCCTCCACGAAGAATTCTAACTGATCTGGGTGATCACCCAGTAACCTTTACCTCTCATCCCACATCGAGAGAAAGTCGTCTCCCCCCTACCATATAAGTCTTCTCAACGTATGGAGGAGGTACCCACTCTATACGTTGAGAAGACTTATATGACAGGGGGGAGACGACTCTCTCCCGACGTGGGACGAGTGGTAAAAAATCCTTCGTGGAGGGTGATACCCTTACAAATGGTCCATTTAATTCCTGCCAAAAGCAATTGTCTACCCTTCTTCATGCTGGTCCATGTATAAGATCCCGATTTTCTTTTTTCATTTCAATTCTTTGACAAAGTTTTAGACCATAGTTTGTTTGGGTTTTTCAAAAATCTCCAATTGAGTTTAGCCATAGCTGCCTGGTTTTTCGGGGTTAACTGCTTTAGCCCTAATCCTCCTTCTTCTTTAGGTGTAGTCACTTCCTCCCAGAGGCGAATTTTTTTTTCTCATNTTTAGACCATAGTTTGTTTGGGTTTTTCAAAAATCTCCAATTGAGTTTAGCCATAGCTGCCTGGTTTTTCGGGGTTAACTGCTTTAGCCCTATCCTCCTTCTTCTTTAGGTGTAGTCACTTCCTCCCAGAGGCGAATTTTTTTTTCTCATGGGTTGATCCCCACAAGAAGTTTCTGTTCAATCTTTCAAGTTCCTCGCTCACTGTTTTTGGAAAAGTTCCAATTTGCATATAGTATTGTGGAATGGCAAACGTGACCGAGTTGATCAAGTTAGCCTTTCTAGCGAGAGATAACAGGTTGGTTTTCCACCCTACCAACTTGTTCCTAACCTTATCAATGATGTATTTAAAGTCAGAAGCTCTTGGTTTATTGTTTTAGCAGGGGGAAGCCCAGGAACTGCCTAGAGTGTGTGTGCTGGCAATTCTCAAAAGATTGGCCCAATTTTGGTTATTCTCCAAGTGGACATTGGGGAAGAAGACCGCCTTTTCAATCATGTTTGAAAGCACATTCATGCACATGCTGAAAAGGTATGGGGACAAAGGGTCCCCTTGTTCAACCCCTCTAGAGGCCTGGAACTAGTCAGTCACACTTGCATTACCATTAAGTNGTGTGTGTGCTGGCAATTCTCAAAAGATTGGCCCAATTTTGGTTATTCTCCAAGTGGACATTGGGGAAGAAGACCGCCTTTTCAATCATGTTTGAAAGCACATTCATGCACATGCTGAAAAGGTAAGGCGACAAAGGGTCCCCTTGTTCAACCCCTCTAGAGGCCTGGAACTAGTCAGTCACACTTGCATTACCATTAAGCAGAATGACAAATTGTGTTGATTTCACACAGGCCATGATAAGTTTTGTGATCTCGGGTGGAAAATTGATGTNATTGTGGTAGGTGGTAACGACCGTAGTGATGGTGGCAACAGTGGGTGATGATGGTGATAGATTTTGGATGACGATGGTGGTGGTGGTGACAAACATGGGTGACAACAATAATGATGGTTGCCTGTGGTGGCGGTGGTGGTGGTGGAACGACAACGGTGATGGACAATGACGATGGTGGTGATAAGAGATGACGAGTACTTTTGGACGACAATGTGATGATTGGTTGTGAATGATAATGGTGGTAGGTATGGTGGAGGTGGATAACAATGAGTGACAGCAGTGGTGATGGATGATAGTGGCTAACAGCGATAGTAAGCGACCATGGGTGGTGATTGGTTGTGGTAGTTCGTGGTAGTAACTGGAGTGGGCAACAATAATGGTAGTGGGTGTTGACAATAATAATTGTAATAAATATAATAATAAGATGACGATGGTAGTAAATGGTGGCTGTGGATGATGGTTGTAATAATCAGTGGTAGATAACGATGAGGGTGGGGCAATGGCGGTGGGGGTGGTGGCAATGATAGTGGTGGAATGGCAACAATGGCAATTGTAGTGTTGATGGTGATAGTCATTTGGATAAAGGTGATGGTGAAACAATGACAGTGATTATATGGTGGCAGCACCGATTGTGGTGGTGGTAGAATGATGTTGATGGTGGTAATTATTGTGGCAAAGGTGACGGTGGGATGAGAGTAGTTGCGGCGGCGGGGGTATTGGTGATGATGGTGGAGAGTGGTAATGATGATGGTGAGACAATTCTACACACAATTTTTTTTTAAAATACTTTTGAAAAATTATAAGTCAAAAACACTTTTAAAAAATCATCCCAAACATATCTTTAAAAGTCTATTTTTTCTATTAAATTTGAAGTGTTAATATTGATTATCGGATTAACTTTAGAGTAAAATTTAAAAAGATCTCAACTGTAAAAAAATAAAAATCATTTTATTTATCTTTTAAGATTTAAAAAGTATTATATTTTATTATATAAATATTCAAATAATTGTTTATAATTGAATATGTTTGTTATCAAATTCACACATTAAAAACTCTGTTTAATGGGTTCGTATCTTGTTCAGGTCATNATTGTGGTAGGTGGTAACGACCGTAGTGATGGTGGCAACAGTGGGTGATGATGGTGATAGATTTTGGATGACGATGGTGGTGGTGGTGACAAACATGGGTGACAACAATAATGATGGTTGCCTGTGGTGGCGGTGGTGGTGGTGGAACGACAACGGTGATGGACAATGACGATGGTGGTGATAAGAGATGACGAGTACTTTTGGACGACAATGTGATGATTGGTTGTGAATGATAATGGTGGTAGGTATGGTGGAGGTGGATAACAATGAGTGACAGCAGTGGTGATGGATGATAGTGGCTAACAGCGATAGTAAGCGACCATGGGTGGTGATTGGTTGTGGTAGTTCGTGGTAGTAACTGGAGTGGGCAACAATAATGGTAGTGGGTGTTGACAATAATAATTGTAATAAATATAATAATAAGATGACGATGGTAGTAAATGGTGGCTGTGGATGATGGTTGTAATAATCAGTGGTAGATAACGATGAGGGTGGGGCAATGGCGGTGGGGGTGGTGGCAATGATAGTGGTGGAATGGCAGCAATGGCAATTGTAGTGTTGATGGTGATAGTCATTTGGATAAGGGTGATGGTGAAACAATGACAGTGATTATATGGTGGCAGCATCGATTGTGGTGGTGGTAGAATGATGTTGATGGTGGTAATTATTGTGGCAAAGGTGATGGTGGGATGAGAGTAGTTGCGGCGGCGGGGGTATTGGTGATGATGGTGGAGAGTGGTAATGATGATGGTGAGACAATTCTACACACTATTTTTTTTTAAAATACTTTTGAAAAATTATAAGTCAAAAACACTTTTAAAAAATCATCTCAAACATATCTTTAAAAGTCTATTTTTTCTATTAAATTTGAAATGTTAATATTGATTATCGGATTAACTTTAGAGTAAAATTTAAAAAGATCTCAACTGTAAAAAAATAAAAATTATTTTATTTATCTTTTAAGATTTAAAAAGTATTATATTTTATTATATAAATATTCAAATAATTGTTTATAATTGAATATGTTTGTTATCAAATTCACACATTAAAAACTCTGTTTAATGGGTTCGTATCTTGTTCAGGTCATTTCTGCCTCAGGTTCATATAACAATTTGTACATCCCACTTCTCATTCATGTTGAACACACCCTCATCAAATGAGATGCCATAGGGCTGGGCAAAGTTGGGTCGTGCTACGTCTATGTACAGGGACAGCAAGAGTGACTTAAATCTATTAACAAAGCAAGTATCCCATTAAAAATCCACTGATGTCTATTTTCCCCTTTCCCCCTATCCCACGGAATAACTTTGAAGAAAGAATCGCTTGTAGTGCCTGGTACCGTAAGTTCTCATTACAACTCATTGAAATCTATATCCATTGAATCCAGTGGTCCATTTTAGTTCAACTTGATTGTATACATGAAAACCTAGAAAAACTATTAGAATTAGCTAGGGCTGCATTCAAGTAAATCCCATGTAGATTATAAGTGGGAACGCGGACCTTGTAAGTTGTAACATGTTGAATGAAAAGCATACATACCTAGTCAATGCAGCCTTCCTCCAACACCAAATACAACTCTTAAGTAATGGAGAGAGGGAGAGAGAATGGCAGGCAAGTCAGGTTGTCACCATCACCATGTTCTTACCAATCCAGGTGTCCAGTTTCTCCAATCCAACTTCCCAATAGATTTGTTCCTGAAGCTCACCATTTCTCTAAAATCAAAAACCCTCTTTCGATTAGTTCCCTGTTTTCCTATCTCAGGTTCCTCTAAAATTTCTTCCTTTGCATCTTCCGTTTCTTTCACAGGGTCAGGGACACATTCTTCTGGCGGTAATGTTTCAATAATGATATTTCCAAGCATCTCAACCACGTCACTCATTTTTGGGCGGGACTTTGGCTGCTTCATGAGACACTTGTTGGCTAGGGATGCAAGTTTCTGAGCTGACCTAATGTAATACTGTCCATCGAGTTGTGGATCTATGATTAAGCAGAATTTCTTTGGATCTGACACATAAGGTCTTACCCATTCCAAGAGTTTCTGCTCATTTCGAGGCAAATTACGCTCCACTGCACGCCTTCCTGTGATTAGCTCATAGAGAACAACCCCAAAGCTCCAAACATCACTTTTCACAGTCAGCCTGCCAGTTCGGACATATTCAGGGGCAGCATAACCTACGGTACCAACAACCTGTAGAAAATGAGAAAATCAGCAAATCTACTGTAGATACGACAAAATAAAAAGAATAATATAAATAAGAAAACAATTAGAAATGTATGAATTATAATCTGCATGTTAAGGGGCATACAAAGATCAGCAAGTTTCAGGTGGGACTCAAAATTTATCACTCAATTTGTACATTTTCAGGACATCATGCCATAAAGCATTATGTAGCTAGAATGTATTCAGGTCTCACACACAGACAACCAGTACATAGATACCAGGATTGTAGATACCTCTAGCATCCCACGAACTGGGATCGCATGACTCGAAATGGGCAGAGTTCGCGATCCAAATCGCTCAAAGTCCTGACCCCAATTTATAACTCAAACGGCAAATTGATTCATGATCTAAGTAATCTCACATTATAATATAACCTTAACCCTAAATCATAACTCTTAACTGGTTATTTCTTTATTTTACAATTCCTTAAACTCATTTTGACAATATTACCACAACCCAAAATAGCATACCAACTAAGTCTATCCCACCGTACCGTGTATTGAAAGAATTATCATACCACGTATCCTTACCCATACCACAATCCGGGTAACATTGACAACACCCACCCCCTTTTGCCCTTTTTCACAAAAAAGACATCAACAAAGAAGAATTAGCTTACCGATGTTGAAACATGACTTAGTCCGGCAGCGGGACCCTGCCTAGCCAGCCCAAAGTCTGAGAGTTTTGCATTAAAATTCTCATCCAGAAGAACATTTGAAGTTTTGAAATCTCTGAATATTAACTGCATCCAAGATAAGGCGGATCAATATCAAATACTGTAGCACATACTACTCACAGTTGATAAAATTAACCAAACAACTGCAGAACACTAGTAAAAAAAGTAAAAGAGGAAATGTCATAAACTAAATGCGTGAATGCATGGACACCATTTATATTTTACGTAACAAGTACATATTTCTTTTTATGTTGAAGAGTGAAAAACACCCGTGCTGTTGTTCCGAAGAGTGTCGGACACTTCGACTCTTCTCTTGAAGTAGTTAGAGGTACCAATTAAGATAACAGCGTGAAGCACAAGCACTATAAACATCTCACTTTAAATATGACATAAATGAAATATAAGAAGGCACACCCTGTCCCACAGCACTTTGATCCAACCAACCCAAGAGCTTGACCAATAAAATAAGGCATAAGCTGACAAGTTTTATTTTGCAAAAACCTAATATTTTCGAATCCTCACACAAGAATTTATCAACCATATGAACAATTGGCTAGTTTCAATAAAGTTTGTGACACGAGATCTTTGCAAATTGTCACAGTATGTTGACACCAAAATGGGAAAAAAATAAACAAAAGTCCTTGTATTTTGTCAATTACAGCATTCATAATACCATCAGTGGCTGAATTTAAGACCTTAATCAGAAGTTGGATTTATTGTATAATCAGCTCTCTCTCTCTATCTCGCTTCTCTATCATCTAACATATCATCCAGTTCCCACACACACAAAGTAAACAAAAATTGTTGTTTGAAGTTTGAACCATCTTTACTAGTACTACGTTCCTTGGATCTTTTTCCTCGCATATCTTGTCTACATTAGCATCCTCCATGGTTTAGTCTACGACATTTGTCATCCGCCATCCTAATTCCCTCCAAGTTTAAGAACCCTTCAAGAGAAGACTGAATGAATTATTTTGTGGTTACTACATTCGTGAATAATTGGTAAAGTAGTGTTTGGGTTCATAACTAGCGATTCTTCTGGTTAAATATTTATAAGAGTGGCATATTTAGGTCGGCACTCATGGCCTATGACGCAAACAGCCTGAGCCTTTCCCTGCATTGCAAACAAATGACACAGTTTTAAAGGCCAATCACTAGCTAGCTACACCCGTGGCCTTTTGGTCCAATGGTACTCCTTGTTTTGTAAAGGCTTTGTTTTGTTGAGATCAAGAGTTCAAATCCCCCTTCCCCCTCCTCCTCCCCCTCCTCCAAAAAAAAATAAGAAAAAAAAAAACTAGCCAGCTACAGCAACTAATTTGGTGTGCACAAATGTAGAGTCACCATAACAAATGAAAGTTAGTTGATTCATGTCATAATAGCCTCAATGTTGTAAAAACATGCAATTTGCATTTCTCACTGAGATGAAGCTAATGCTCCATCAAATTATGACAAACCATATTACCTAATTACTTAACACCCTGCCCAAGTACTTCAGAACGTAATACCACAATTTTAACCACTCAACCACGTTAAGAGTATCTCACTTGCAATGTATTAACCCTTTTACTTTTTACAAGGTTAAAGTTTCACCAAAGAGCCCTAAAGAAGAATCAACAGTGAGGCAAACAAAATAGCCAAAACCAGTCACAGCCAGACCAAATGGTTGTGTCTTGAATTGACCATAAGCAAGTGAATTCCATTGCAGGTGAACAAATTAAATAATAATACGAAAACTGGAAAAAAAGCATCTGAAGAGATGCATTTACTTATAAATATTTGAGGTGAAAAACCTGAAAATCCATTTCCTCGTGAAGGTATGCCAAACCACGAGCTGCATCTTGGGCAATTTTTAATCTTGCTGTCCATGAGAGAGGAGATGGTGCCCGGGTCAAAAGATGGTCTTCCAAGCTTTTATTACGCATAAGCTCATAGACCAAAAGCCGTTGAATCCCTCTTTCATCATCTTCTGCACAGTATCCCACTAACTTGACAAGATTTGGGTGCTTGACCACGCCCAAGAAATTAACTTCATTAATCCACTCCTTATGCCCCTGAATACTAAGATGCAAGAAAAAAAGGTAAAACAGGAAACCCATAAGATAATCTCAAGAGGTAAATTATACCATTTAAGAGATGTTCGGCAGGCTCAAACACGGAACTTGATTAATTTTCTTAAATATCTTATATCATATTAAAAGAAATATACATGTCCAATGACTAAGATTATTCATTAATACATATTTTGGGTACTGAAAAAAAAAACTGATTTTCTTTTGTGGGAATCAGGGTTAGCAAATCCACTACATGCTTAGTCCTCTATCAATTTCCCAGTCAACGGACTCTAAGCCTATCTCTGTTTGCAGAGGAACTAAACCTCCAAATCAATTACATCAACCAAAAATAAGGATGAGTCTTCTTTTAATTAGCCAGTTACTGACAAAGAAACTTTGAAAATAATGTTTGCATTGTCAGAAAAAAAATGACTTATAGCTTAAGAAATTCATGGCTGAAATTAATGCGGGATTAGAAATTGCGACACTTTGGAAAGGTAAAGTGAAAGGAACAAGAATCTTTCTCAAGTGGAGCCGAATTAAGCCTGGGAATTGACAAATTTTACCAAGGCAAAATCCCGAAAATAGAACTGATCTACATAATAGAACTGAAATTTTTTGAGGAAATCTGAAATCATGAGGGCTTGGGATTAATTAAACGGTTCTAATTGCCCAATATTTATTTCGCAAGCACAAATCAATCATGAGACAACATGGGTAATGAAGCCATCAGCCCGAGTTGTTTGTATAGGATCAGATACTCAAATTCATGAAATGACACACTATATACCGATAAACAAGGGACAATTCACAAATCTACATCCATGACGCATCCAAACGATCACAATTCAATAGAGACACCACTACTCTACTGAATGTGTGCATCACACCGAAACATATAATCTGGAGGATGATCATTTTTGTCCGGAAAGACAAATACATCAACTTCCAAAGCTATGGTTTCATTCAGATTATCTACTTATCCATACACATAGCTATATACCCTTGTGTAAATATGGACATACATATGTACATATGTATATAACACACAGAGAGAGAGAGAGAGATGTGAACAAAGGGGCATGCCTGGAATCCATTGCGATTCAACTGTTTGATAGCCACATCCAGCCTCGACTCACTCCTATTCTCACAATCATCCCTTACCTTGACAACACCTCTGTAAACGCACCCAAATCCTCCCTCTCCGATCATCAGAGATCTACTGAACCCTCTGGTCGCAGATTTCAGCTCAGCAAACGTAAACACTTTCAGATCATTAGCCCTTTTCTGGGCCAAAAATTCAAAGAACCCAAACGAATCCGTAAAGTCCCTGCTCGACTCCGAATCAAACTCGGACCGTCTCGTATCCACAGTGCTCGAAGCCACACTTAAAGAACGAGCCCACGACACCTTCGATAACCTGGAAACGACGCCGTCCTCGCCGTCGTCGTCATCCCTTCTCTCTCCGTTGGTGAAATGAAAGCATTTCATTTTTACCTTCAGCACAAACACAGCATCGAAATTGTAGAAATCGACATGAGATGTAGAAATTTGTTGGTTTCAGATGGAGAGAGAGAGAGAGAGAGACTCAGTCAAGCGGATGGCGGAAAGCAACAAACACTAGAAGCCGGAGCTGTGAATGTTGAAAAAATTACAAAACAATATAATATATTATTTTAATACATATATACACAGACATGTAAAGATCATAGAAAACAAAGAGAGCAGGTATTTCTTGGTTCTGCACAGCTATTGTCGTGTTACAGAGGAGAGACAGAGAGAAAGAGAGTCACGAGAGGAGAGTGCGGAGTGTCTGTCATGACAGGCACTGGACGTTTATGGGCGGGTGTTCTACTGTTCTGGTTAGAGGCTTGGACTTTGGACGGTAATTTGCCTTTCTGATGGGGGTATTTTGGGAAAATCGAAAATAAATGGTGAATTATACTCTAACCTCCTCAATGTTTTATCTTGAGTCTCATTTTCAATGGTTAATGTTTATTTTCTTGTCAATTTTGTCATCCAACTTTCAACATGTTGTCCTTCCAAAAACTTTCTACATGATGCTTCATGCTGTACGAAAACTTTGAATAATATTATTTAGACATAATTTATTGATATAATTTGTTGACGTAATCCTTTATAACCATTATATTAGTAGTGATTCCTAACAAATACTGAGTACCATTGCTTGAAAAATTATTATCACTAATGCTCAGACTAAATTGAGAATATTTTAAAAATTAGGAAATAAACATGATATATAAATTTTGAGGATAAAAGTACAAATTTGGAGATTTCATGGGCATAAATTATAATTAAAGTTAGTGGTCACATCTTGCCGCGTTATTTTTCAGATTGTCCTGGAGAAAGTGGTGGCGCTGGGATAAAAGCAGAAAATGGGCTAGCTTTATTTGAAAAAAATACAAACTGATTTGTTGGGCATGGTCCTACCCGATTAAAGTTGGTGGTGAATGTAACCAAACGGCACCAAATATTCTTGGGTAAAATGCAAAAAATGTCCCTATATTTAGGCTAATTTACACACGACCTCCTCGTCATGTAATGCGTTGCCATTCAACCTCCTTGAACTCATGATCAAAGTACAAAAATGGATATCCGTGATAGAATCTGTAAAAGTACAAAAATACCTTGACATTCAATCTTCAATGGAATGCCCTAGTTTGAGTTAGACCCTCTACCGTCTCTCTAACTCTTCCTCTT